CCTTTGCCTCGCCAGAGTGGGGGATCTTGTAGTCGTTGCTTCCTTGCACACAGATGGCTTCGCGCATGCAGGACTTGTAGGGTCAGAATATTGTTGGTCAATGTTTGCATGTCCACATCAGCCCAAGCACGCTCCGTCGCGGCAATAATGTCGTCGATGCATCGCGACGTGTTCTTCTCTTGCTAGGATTGAATCGCTCGGAAAAATCCAAGGTCGAAAACGTTGAAATTTGGAGAGTTGGGAGGTTGGCATTTGACTTCGATGGACCGACCATCGCTACAACAGGCTGCAACAATTTCCACATCACTTGTGCTGCATTCTGATGGCCATTTGGCTTTGATAGCGGGGATCACCTTCTCCAAGAGCATGGCTTTGTACACTGGGCGGGTGACATTGACAGGCACAGTCTGCATTGCACCAGCAGGACGGTTCCGGCTCGACCTCGCCGCAGGAACTTGAGCTGTAAAGTGCCAGGGGCCGACCTTTCCGTCAAACCAAGAATTGGTCTCTTCAATACCGTGGGCGGGCGACAGCAGACAGGAACATCACATTGGTGATAAAGCGCTTGGACTTTCACGTGCGATATGGCGGTTCCTCGCCAGGAGCAAGATAGAATGACCGTTTGACTCGCGTGGCGTAGAACCACTTCTCGTCCACATGAACATAGTTCATCATGTCGTCGAAAGCATATTCGTTTCCCGAGGTGGCGTGATGTGTCCCATTGCCCAGCATGTACGAGCGACTTTGTTGGCATCTGTTAGTGTTGGGCGCACGGAGCTTGTGTACTTCACAAATATGCCTCGTCAGTAGTAAGCATGGAGGGTGGACCGCGGCATACCCATTGCTGCGGCGATAGAACGAGAATTCGTTCGCGGTGCTTTGGGTATCGCTTTCATGCGTTCAGCGACATTCTGGTGTTTGAGGTTTCGACCGCTGTGGCCTTTTATTCTCGATGCACGTCTAAGCATGAACGTATCGTGTTGTTGAGGTCGGCACATCCTCGTTTCCACACCCTTTGCACAGTGCCTCTGTGTACTCCTAACTCCAGAGCGATTTTGTTGAGAGCTCCGTGAATGAGCCTCTTGTCGTCAACCAAGTGTGCCATTAGCTGCTGTATGATGGCTCGCCGATCATTGTCGCTCAGGTTTTTTGGCGATCATTGTTGAATCAAGGTCATCTCTGAGCACATCATGACCGTTCTGACATGAAATCACACCGCCAATATCACGCCAATTGATTGGTCAATAATCCTTATTTTTATCCACTTCATCAAAACTCATTTGGTTGGGGCTTGCCATGGCGAAGCAGCGTCAATAACGCAGTGACGGACTTGGACCTCCCGTACTTGAGGTAGATCGCATCGATGGCCGTGCCGCTGGTGTGACCACGCTTCAGCATACCTTCGACTAGGACCCAGAACTTCAAACGGAAACAGAAGAAAAACTTCGCTTTGCCGCGCTCCTTCTTGTCGAACAACTTCGCAGGTTTGACCCCGCCGTTTCCAAACTCGTACTCCTTCCACAGCTCGAAGTGGTCTCGGGGCCGCTTTTCTAAGCGAGCGGTCGGCCGGGAAAGTACACCAGGAGCCCCATGATCGGTAGGCGTCCTCACGGAACGGACAACAGGCTGAACTGCGATGCGCTTTATCGTAGAGTGCAAGCGCTCAAGCCGAGATCGCATCGTTGTTTGTAGGGATGCGAGTTCCGCTTGGTGTTGTGAGTGCATCTCCTCGATGCGACGCTTTAGGGCGTTGATCTCGGTAGACTGTGAGAGTAGGGCTGCCATGACGGTTGTGGTCGACGTTGCCTGCCCGCCCAGCTCGGCCATTTCACCACGCATGTCCACCAGTCTCAAATCGCCACCAAAACCACTGGGAAGTATCGCGACTTTCTCCACAAACTGGGGCACGTCGCTGTCGACGTCGATGTTGGCGGCTAATCGAATTGAATTGAGGATACTTTGTTGTAAAGGTTCGGGCAGGAGTGGATATTCGCTGTCAAATGTGCTGGTCGATTGAACAGCGGCATACATGAGTGGGATTGCCAGCAATTGGGCAATTTCGTTGGAGAATGCACGAGCACAATTTGGGGCAACGATGTTCGCCAAATAGGACGGAT